TTTTTTAATAATGGTAAAAATTGTTATAAATAACTATATAATATATCATGGTGTTTATATATTATAATATTTCTATTAAAATAAAAATGATTAAAATTCCTTGTTTAAAATTTAGAATAAGAATGCCATAACGACTAAAACAAAAATCGCTTTCACGGCATGTGCTCCGTTACATATTCCTTTCTCCAACTTGTATTCTGCCATACAGGCAGTGCATTCATCTGCCTTTTCACAAGTTGCACAACCTTCAATGGTACATTTAATACATTTTTATTGGTTTTATCTGTCATATATCCTTCTGGACATATATCAACACACTTCAAAGTGTCAGACACAAGATTGAATTTGGTATTGCATTTGGTGCAGTTGTCGTCTTTATCACAAACATCGCAATTAGCAGTAACACATAAATCACACTTTTTGATTGGAGTCTCAACTGGTTTACCAGTGGTGCATAAATCAACACATAAAAGTTTGTCGGCAGCAATGTATTTATTTTTACAATTAGTGCATTGTTCAATAGTTCCAACCGTTTCACAAATTTCGCAGCCACTAATAGTGCATTCTTCACACTTCTTTGTATCTTTATTGACTTTCCCAGTTTTGCAAGTTTTAGCACAAGTTTCGTCAAGATTAATGTAATCAGTTGTTGTAGCGCATTTGGTGCATTTTGCTGTTGGGTTACCAATAACTTCTTCACATGTTGCACATTTATTTCCACATGCATTTGTTGATGTATCACACTTATCATCTTTTGTTATTTTTCCAGTTGCACAATCATCACATTTATTACCATTCATGTATTTATACTTGGTATTAGAATCACATTTAGTACATTTAACTTTATTCATATCGGTTGTATCTTCAACACAAGTGGCACAATTATAATCAGCGAAACAGGCAGTACATTTTTTATTTTTTTGATAATATCCATCAATACATGCAGAACAAGTGTTAGCATCACTGCAAGCTGAACAGCCAGTTGTACATGTTTTGCATAAACTACTGTCCAAATAATAGCCAGTTGTACATGCAGAACAAGAAGTATCATCACTACATTTCGAACAACCATTTGTACATTTTGTGCATTAATTACCATTTAGATAATATCCATCACTACAACTAGTACAAGTGGTGGCACTACTACATTCTTTACATTCAGTTTTACATACTGTGCATTTACTCCCTTCAAGATAAAAACCAGCTTTGCATGAAACACAAGTTTTTTGATCATTTTTACATTTCAAACATCCTGTTAAAGAATCTTTACACTCGGCTTCTTGTGTGCATGTACCTCCTTCGACATAATAACCAGTTTTGCAAGAAGTGCAGGCAGTGGCACCAGTACATTTATCACAATTATTAGAACATAATTTGCAATTATTTTCTTCAAGATAATACCCATTTTTACATACAGTACAAGTAGTTATATCAGTGCATATAGAACAGCCAGCTGAACAGGATGTACATTTTCCTTCCTTTAAAAAATATTCCGGTTTACAATTTTTATATTTTTGTGGATCATCTGTCGTGCATGTTAGGCAATAGTCTTGAGGTGGTTTACAATCATTCGAAAAGGCGGTAAATATTGTAAATGATAAGAAGATTAAAGTTCTCATAGAATAATTACCAAGTTTATAAAAATGTTTTTATACTCAAAGTTGTAATTTGTTTTTTAACAATTTGTTTATTAAATTGTCAGACATTTTTTTATTTGCCGACCTCTCGTTTCAATTCATTATTAGCATCATATTGTAATGAAAGATGATATTTAAAAATTGTAAACGTTAACATTAATTCAAATTTTTATTGTTATACAAATCAAATTTAACATTTTTGATATATTTATATACTAATATGCGTTATCAAACAAATTATACTGAGTAATATTAAAATAATATTATATTAACATACATTAATAACGTTAATTATAACAACAAAAAATGTAAAAAAAACTGCACAAAAATATGTTTAAAACATTTTGATTTTTTGAATTATATTCAACTTTTTAATTATTTGATTATATTATTATATACACATATATGTTTCAATAGACAACATTAACTATGTTTAAAAATGTCTGTTTCATTCAAAGTAAATGTCATTAATACTTTTCGTATTGTAAGATGTAACATTTTATAATACAATTTTATTATTGGTGTATTAAGTATTGTTTGTTATTTTTTTAACAAAGTGATTAAATTTCGTCTTTTTAAAAAAACAACTTTTTGTGTAATATATTAATTTTAACATAACAATAAAAACTATAAATATAAAATAATCGATTTGTATTTTGTTAAAATAATAATTATTTTGTTTTTAATTCATTTCCAGGGCTAGTTATGTTTTTCTTTTTTAGTATTTTTTTGTTTTCAAAATTTAGTTTTTAGAATTATTATAAAAATGATGAAAATATTATATAAAATTTTTAAAAACACATACAGATGCAAGAAAAAGTGGTTGTCATGAGTATAAAAAAGTATTTGTATATATTAATATATTTTTTCAAGTTGTTGGTTGTTTAAAAAAATTAAAGTTTATAAGATTGTTGATGTTTTTGTTATTGATATAAAACCCTGATTATTATTGTTATTATAAACTGACATTGAGCATTTATTAATAATTGTTATTTGTTTATTAACAGATATTTTTATTTACAAAAATTTAGGTAGTGAAATTAGTCGGTCCCATGTTTTTTCTATTTTATTATCAAGTTTATTTAAAAATTGAATAATTAAAAGTAAGTCAATTAACGAAACACACTATAAAGAATAAAAAAGGCATGAAAAAATAACTATAAACTCTCACACGATATTGGTCATCACCAACATTTTGATGATAACAAACAATATAATCTGTAATTAATATTTATAATATATAGTCACCATAACATTTCAAATCCAATTCAATTAAAAATACAGTCTAACCTCTCAAAATGTGTAATTTTTGTTTTGTTGATATTAAATATCAAAAATCA